ATTGAGCCTCAGTCCATACTGAAGGCTGCAGTCCTTGACCCTCTGCAGTAAGTGCATGAGGTCCTCCTCAGTTTCAGTGAGCAGGGTTGTGTCATCTGCATAACGCAGATTGTTGATAGATCTTCCACCAATCCTAATGCCACGCTTCTCCTCATAGAGCCCAGCCTAGCCACTATTAATGTGAAGACTGTTTCGATTCATTAGAATGAAACTAAAAACTCATGAGCTACATTTCAAGTGTTCGAGCACCTAATGACTGCTGTATTACATAGCCCAGATCTGCAACATTCTCATCTCAAAGTTCCAGTCCATAGTACCGACCTAACAAGTTTGCCCCACTTTCCCTAGCACGCGGCACATAGTGAGGGTCAGAAGGGGTATGTAATACAATACAGACATTCATCATAAAGATGAGAACTGCATGTTCTTGGCTATCAGAAAATCGTGGGGCTTGAATTCTTAGCTACCTTACAAGAGACTCTGCCCTTGAAGAGAGGACAATTGATACTATCTTCTTACAATGATTGCCTAGCTTTCTCTCATAGACCAGCTGGTGGATTCAAGCAGCTTACCTTCTGTTGGCAGTGCAACTCCTTGCCCATTAGGCCACCAGAGCTCTCTCTTTCTTATCAAAAGTCACTCTAAAATCTAACGTGGAACATTCTCAGCCCTCACCTGCACTCCTCGCCCTCCAGCAGCTCCCTGTAGGTGGCGATCTCCACGTCCAGGGTCAGTTTGATATTCAAGAGCTCCTGGTAGTCTCTCAGCAGCCGGGCCATGTCATCCTTGGCCTGCTGCAGGGCAGCCTGCAGGCTTTGAAGCTTGGCATTGGCGTCCTTGAGGGCCATCTCCCCACGCTGCTCGGCTTCTGCGATGGCTGCCTGAAGATTGGCATTCTGGGAAGGGAGAGGCAGGAGACCAATTAGAGTAATGACCAGAAAGCAAGGCCCTACTCTTTCCTGAGAGGGTAGCTCATCTTCATCCATTATTCCTCCTTCCACTTCCTTAGAAATCCAGGGTCTCTAGGGACTCTGCTCTCCCACATATGACACTAAGAATGGAAAAAGAAAGAGGTGCACAGCTGTAGCTACTTCCCATGACCCAGAAGACCCCCAAGGACTTTCCATAAGGCCTGGACTCACCTGCTTCTTGACGTTCTCAATCTCTGCCCGCAGCCTCTGGATCATCCTGTTGAGCTCCATGATCTCGCTCTTGATGTTCCTGAGGTCATCACCATGCCTGCCAGCTGTGCTCTGCAGCTCCCCAAGCTGACAAAGGAGAAATATATCAACATGGCTTTGCAAAATGTTGCCACATTCTCTAAGAAGGCCAACAGGACTTAAAACCCGATCCTGTAGAGTGTGGTGACAGCGTGGGCTCCTACCTTGGTCTGATACAAGGCCTCTACCTCAGCCTTGCTCCTCTGGGCAATCTCCTCATACTGAGCCTTCACCTCGGCAATGATGCTGTCCAGGTCCAGGCAGCGGTTGTTGTCCATGGACAGCACCACAGACGTGTCACTGACGTGACTCTGCATCTGGGACAGCTCCTGCAGGAAACAGGGATGGTCACACTCACCATGCTCCTGACTCCACAGATGCTGGGAGGAACCAAAAATCCTTTACTAGAAGAGATACTCTAAGAAGGCAGCCACAAATGAGGCAAATTAACCTTACATGTCAGGCCAGGACAGGAGCCCAAAGGAAGGCATACAACAAGGCCTAGGAATCAAAGGAAAAGTGAAAAATAAAGAAGGCTAATTGACAGAAGGTAAATAAAGAGGGCCTGGAGGATTGTAGTTCAAGAATCTGCAGGCTGAGGACCTAGGTTAGCAATTCCTGGGTGAAACAGACTGGAGGTCTGAGGCCTGTTGCTGGCTATGTGAGTGTCCTGCTGTCTGGCTGTGTCCCTAAAGTTATGCTTGGAAGGCACAGAGAGATGGGGGCTGGAATGGGCAAGGCAAGGACTCACCATGTCATAGATGGTCCTCAGGAAGTTGATCTCATCCATAAGGCTATCCACACGGGCCTGCAGGTCCACCTTATTCATGTAAGTTGCATCCACATCCTGCAGGGAGGGCAAGCCCAAAGCAGTGACTGTCTGCTCCCCTCCCACCCATGATATCCCAAAGCCTTCACTTTCCTTTTTTGCCCTTTTCCCACTATGCCTAATTCACCTCCTCCAAGTGTGATTCTCACTGCCCCTTCCTTTCTGAAAGTCAAAGTGGATTTCTTCCTTGCCTTAGGCAAATACAAACCATATAAGTCAGGGTCAAAGTGATCATCCATTTTTAAGGAATAAATGTCCCATTTACCTACTGTCACTTTGATCATATTGTACTAAAAACTCAACCTTCCTAAATAGAAGAATATTCTTCTTACTACTTCATATTTAGACTAGTTCATTTAATTAAACTACAAGTATTTGCAGATTGTTATTATCAATAACATACAGAGGGAAGAGAAAGAAAAGATGCAATGTTTAGGGATTCTCTATGTTTCTTTTGAGGGTGGTGGTAAAATCCAAGTCTGGCAACAGTTGAACAACATGATGGACTTATTTCAAGTAACTGAATTTTACACATGAAGATTGGTGACTTTGCATATGGTCTATTAACATTTTCTATCATTAAAAAACTGATTAAAAGATAACATCCAGGGTACATTTGTAGACTAAAAAATCTTGATTTATATTAAACATAAAATGTTCACTATTCACATTACTAACTATCTCAGTCTCACTAATATTTAAGATGTATCCCGGACTATCAATGTACTCAGAGAATTTTCCTTCACCAAGCATCCCATTTCCAAAAATGTAAGGAAATGTGCCCCCCACCCCAGAGGGGACTCCCTAGAAAAAGGAGCCTGGATCTGCCCATCCCAGCTCACCTACCTTCTTGAGCCCCACAAACTCATTCTCTGCTGTTGTGCGTTTGTTGATCTCATCTTCATACCTGGAAGAGAGAGGGGATACATTTCAACAGAGACATTTCGAGTGAGTTGGGGGCGGGGGGCAAGAGTGTAGGATCTCAAGCTCTTGTGTAGAATTGTCTCATCTAGAGACAGACCTAATATCCTGGTTAGATAACCTGCCCATTGCCTAGGATTCTGCATTTGTTTTAATGCTTAGATGTCATTTTTTTGAAATTACTAATATTTAAACAAGGATTTTTTGCAATGCTATTTTGCACTAGACCCTGCAGACTACATAGCCAGTCCTGCCAGATACCTTTCAGAATTCAAGAAATTGTTTCACCCTCTTCTGAGTGACCAGCAGAAGTATGGGCAAATAGGTGAGGGTAGAGGAAGATGTCAAGGAGACTGGCTACTTGCCTGGGCTCTTTGTTCATCTTCACAGAACACAAAGGGCACATATGAGACCCAGAGAGATAATATTTCTGTTTCCTCTCTTTATCTTTTCCTTAATTACAATTGCTTCTATAGCTATTTGAAGTGAGAATGAGCTTGTGTCTTCTGAGGGCATTAAGACTGTAAAATTCTTGCCTTTGGGTGACTGAAATCTACCACTAAAAATATTAATTGTATGAAGACTAAAGGACTGAGATGATTCTAGAAGAGAAGTTCTGAAGAGTGAGTCTAAGTTGCCGTTGAATTGCCAGTGCTCAGCCCAGAGCCCTCCAGAGTGGTTGACACCAGGGTTTGAGCAACTTGGAATGAGGCCTGGGAAGGATGGCTGAGAAGAGATCCTCAGAGCAAGTATGCCCATCCCCATGGGTCCCGACCACTGGGGATGTCTGGAACCTCCTTCTCACCTTGAGACATAGTTTATCCCTCATAAAAAGATATGTGAACTAAAGCTCTAAATGCACAGTGGCCAGCTGCCTGAAGCTTCATAAATAGATCGCTGCACTGGACACATTGAAACCTTTGCAGCCCTGAACCATCTTCCTAGAATCTCTACTAACTATTGATTATTAAGATCTCTGCAGCCACACACACAAATACAGATTCTGAAGGTGACTGCTGTATACTGTAAAGTGTGGAGGCTTCCCACTCTAAAGACCATTAAACTCTAAAAGAATTATTTTGCCAATCTGGGCTAGTAGAGTAAAGGACCTATCTGGAATCCAGCACTGGAACATGCGTAATAACCTCCTAAGAGTCCCAGGCCCTACCCCCTTCTTCTCAGCATGCTTCATTCAAATCCATACATAAGTATTGATTGAAAGTGCAGTCAGGAACAGTTGAAATTGTCACACCACACCTCCCTGATGATACCCCATTAAAGGCAAACCCCTCAGTTGAGGGTCTCACTTCTTTTTGTAGTCTTCTACCAGGTCCTGCACATTCTTCAGCTCTCCATCCATGTTCCCTCTCTCCCCCAGGAGCATATCCAGTTTCTTGCGCAGGTAGATGATGTAGGACTCAAACAAGGGCTCCAGGTGGTTGGGGCCTGAGACAGAGCCTGTGCCCTGCTGCTGCAGCAGGTTCCACTTGGTCTCCAGGACCTTGTTCTGTTGCTCCAAGAACCGCACCTGCATCACAATTGGCAAGAAAAGGAATCAGCCCCTGGAGTTGGGCAGCCGGGCCCCTCTTCCCAAAGGGAGGTTAGCCCAGTCCTTTGGTCCACACTAGCCTTGTGCTTTATGGAATTTAGGAAGATCAGGAATTTAGAATTTACTAAGTACTCACTCACTGTAAGATATTTGCACGTGTTCTATTTCATCTAATCCCCACAAACACCTGGGAAGGAGGCATACTGATCTCTATTTGTAGGGAGGGAAACTGAGCCTCAAAGAATTTAATCAATCTCCCCAGTTTTATTGTGGTTCTTCAGACAACTGAAGAAAAAAAACTACTCTTAACACAAGTAAAGTTATTTGGGGGTCTTTGTGTCAGATTTTTCCCCCTCATGTAAAGGAAGTAAAATCAGTCAAATGGATTTAACTTTTCCTTGTGACGATCCCCTTCCAATTACTTGACATATAGCCGACTAAAGTTCAATTTCCAAATCTAGACTCATTCTCCCAACAGACCCAGCACACCCTTCTCCACCTCAACATGGGGAGCTTGGACAGCTGAAGCACAGCATTCTTCAGAAGGTAAGTCAGTTGTCAATGCTCAGCATTTAGAGGTGTTTCCGATAGCCTGCATATTCAGTGTGTTTATGGCTAGCTTGGGTTTCCAAGAAATTATTTTTCAGTAGTAATTATAAGTTAACGTTAATAAATTCATAACTAAGTCTTCATTCTACAAAAGAGTAAAGAATGTCTTTAGAGGTTTACCTCATTTGTCTTATACTGTCTATCCTTAGAAGGAAATCAGGAAGAACCCTTCCCTGTTTCACAGATAGCAAAACTAGAACTCAAAGATGAAGACTGGACTGTTTATAATCATCAAAGGAGAACCACATCAACAGTCAGTTACCCTGTCTCCAAACAGATATATGTCACTGGTGTCTTCCTACCCCGACACCTTGTGTAACCCAAACTTTCCATGACACCTCTGAGCTTTGCCCTCACCTTGTCAATGAAGGAGGCAAACTTGTTGTTGAGAGTCTTGATCTGCTCCCGCTCCTGGCTCTTTACTTGACCAATCTGAGGGTCGATTTCCACGTTGAGGGGCTGCAGGAGGCTCTGGTTGACAGTCACTTCTTGGATTCCTCCAGGGAAGCCACCAGGGCCAAAGCCACCAGGACCGCCAAAGCCACCAAGGCCACCAAAGCCACCAAGGCCTCCAAAACCACCAGCTCCTCCAAAACCACCAGCTCCTCCAAAGCCACCTCCTACTCCTCTGCCACCCCCAAAGCCACCTCCGTAGCCACCACCAAAACCACCTCCATAGCCACCCCCAAAGCCACCTCCAAACCCTCCTCCACACACGCTACGTCCTCCACCAAAGCCACCAGCCCGGGAGCCGCCACCTGCTACACTGATGGAGATGCTCTTGTTGCCACCCAGGTTGTAGAGGCTGCGGCTGCCAAAGCCACCAGCTCCACCGCGGAACCCACAGGCCCCTCCGCTGGCTCCCCCCGAGCGGGCCACGCAGCTCATTCTGCTGCTACCGGAGACCACAGCAGAGCGGCCAGAGAAGCCCTGGCTCCTGCCACTGAAGGATTTCTTGCAGACTTGTCTGTTCATGGTGAGGTAGCTTGTAGGTGCTAAAGGTAACTTAGCAAGAGCTGGGAGGGATGAAGGGAGAGGATGAGGACATCAGAGAAGACTGGCCTTTATAAACCAAGGAGCTGGCTTGGCAAAAGGTGAGGCAAGCAATTAGCTGAGAGTCATCTTGGGCTTGGTTTGCCTCCCAGGTAATAAGTTACTTCTATGTTCCAAACACACCTCAAAAATAATCCTCGGGACCAAAATGGCTTTGCTTTCTTAGCTTAATCATCTAAACTTGCCTCAGCTGACAAAAGACAGAAGCTCTCCTCTTTCCCTTCATGTGACATCCTCAAGGGTCTTAAGGCACCCAAGCAGTACCTGGTACAGCCGATTAATTGGATTTAGACACCATGGGTTAAGAACCACCAAGCCCCATGATATGGAGATGAGGGCCAAGCACCTTCTTCCAGGCTGGGTCCTTCCTTTCTGTGTCAATCTGCCCACAGTCTCTTGGCCAGTGCACAAGCCTCTTTTTCCTCTGTGGGCACTGTTTTCTAGTGGCATATCACCTATGCTCAGAACCTCAGGGAAATACCCACAGAATGGCCCAAAGGCAGGGAAGAAGCATATGCACTGAAATAGTAGGGTCCACGCTGCCCTCCCCTAAGCTCTTCCTGAAGGTGTCTAAGCAGGTCTAGAGTTTGGGGTAGGAAATTTTGCTGTTGGAAAAAATGCAAAGTAGAGATTAAGTATCTGGTCATAAGAAATGAGAAAGTCAATATATGGAGACATCAAGTGTGATAGTAAAAGAGAATGAGGGAATATAGGAAGGTGAGCGATCAGAACAAGGCCTTAAACCAACCATCCTGGACTGGCAACAGGTGGGTTCTGGATCTATAAGCAAGAGGTAAAAGAAAGCAAGAACCCAACCCTTGGCTGCCAGAGTCAGCTCTAAGACTCCATTCAGCTTAAAATGGGAGTATGGGCTGGCTCCCAATTCTTGTCTTTCCTCTTTCTTGTGTTTCCTCTTCTATTATTACCTCATCTGAGTTAAATACCCTTCTACGTTTTCCCAGTACACTTCACATTTTCCCCCACCATTTTGTTGTTATTGTGTACCATTGAGTCAGAATTGACCCATAGCGGACCCTCCAGTGGGTTTTCAGAGGCAGTAAATCACTAGGGAGTACGGTGCTCATTTTTCTCCCATAAAACAGCTGGTGGATTTGAACCACTTATCTTAAGACATTTACCTGTTTGTCAGTACACTCTATAGGCTCTGAGTTCTATAAACGAAGGGCTTGAGTTCTGCTCATGCTGCATATCAAGCTTCTAGCACAAGGAAAGGACAATATAAATGTATGTTGACTGAATGCTGCCATCAAGTCAAGTACAACTCAGAACAACCTTTTGAACAGCAGATCTGAGCCCTGTTCTATCTTGCGCCATCTTCATCATCCCTGATACACTTGAGCCCCTTGTTGCTGACTATTCTCTAAGAATATAAATATCTTAACATCAGTTCCCCATCCCACCCTCAGTCCTCCACAATTAAAAGCTCCAAGAGAAAGTCCTAAGTATTTGCCATTTTAATAAGTCCACTCTCTCCCAATAATCCTTATGATTCTGGAAGTTAGCAAACTCTGGTCCAAACCATAGGTGTTCCATCTGGGCTGAGATAGAAAAGAAAGATCCGTGGTTGCAAAACAGGTCAACAAATGAGTTGCTGCTCTTGTTTCTCTAACTTCTACCTGATCTATGCCAAACTCACCTCTATACCTAGTCACACCACATGTGATAAAAGTGAATTCTCAGACTTTTCCCCACATATGAGCCTTCACGAATTATAACATGAGCAGGAGGGCACCTCAATATTGTGAGTCTCCTCAAAACAGTGAGGTTCCTCAAAATAGTGAGTCTATCTCCAGAATTCCCATCAAAACACTTTATTTCTCTGGAATGGATAAACCAGTGAGGGGCAGAGGACAAGTCTGGAAGAACCTCATATTAAATGATTTCAAGTTCTCTGTAGCTAATTCTGAATTCTCTGCTCTGCCGATTGACCAGAGCCTGTGCACTTGGTTAAAATCTCAACTCACTTAATATTTGACCTTGAATAAACTACCCAACTTTTATGAGTTTCTGTTTCCTCATGTGTAAAATGGGGCAACAATCGCAGGTATTATGTGGACTTGTGAGCATTAACAAAGTTAAATAACTATAAAATGCTTAAAACAGTTCTTGGTGGCTATTAAGCCCAGTATACTTAGATATGTTTAGATATGATAGTGTTCTATTTGGACACATGGGGAACACGATTCCCTGGATGTTCTCAGGATTAATTTACTCCCTTGGGAAACTCACCAAGGGATGCTAGGAAGAGGAAGAAAATGTAAATGACAGGAAGGAGACACTTGGAGTTAATAAAGTTGATGCACATTGACCTCTGCAATGGGTTCAGTGATATTGGATCATGATTTAGACTAAGTCTGTATTCTTTTCTGTTAAATCCTTTCCAGTCTCTTTGGTTTGTGGTCAGTTTCACAGGATATAATGCAAGAGAAAGTCTTTTGAAAATGAAAAGTATCACACAATAATGAACAAGCTGTGGTCTAACAGAAAACCTGTAATCATGAGATTCAGAAGACTAGAGTTCAAATCCCACATCTACCTTTCATTGTGTATGATCTTGGACAATGAATTTGATTTCTTTAAACCTTTCTTTCATATTTGAAAGAATTCTGCCCTAAAGTCTTTATAGAACTATTTTGGTTTCTATACAGTTTGCAGTAATAAATTTGGATGTTTTTCATTAACATTATCCATCCACAGACAATCCATAGAGGTGAGCCTGTACTAGGTTATTCTGAGACATTCACTCCACCCTGGTCCCTCTTGGCAAGGTCTTCATTCATACTCTTTGCAATCCCTTTAAAGACAGAAGATCAAATGCCTTCCGTTGGAAGAAAGTTGATTCAGGCTCATCTGAAGCCCTAGATGAGAGCCCAAAGCAAATAAGGAAAGACATCAGTGTCTCCGATTCCCTTCCCCTCCCTTGGCTCCTGCACTGAAGCAGCTCATCCTGCCACCCTGGTATAAACAGGAGCAGAGTGATGGAGAGATGTGATGGGAAGATCACAAAAGCACAAGTTTGGGTTGGGTTTCCCTAAATCACGTCTCCTGAGCCTGCCAAAGCAGCAACTTATTTAGCAGGTCAGGGTTGTTTTTTCAACACTTGACTGAAGCTCTTGGAAATATCCAGAGTTGCCTTGCTGGCAATATTTCTTTTCTTCGCTGTAGAAACTTTTAGAGCAGAGGCGTCTAAATGGGCTGTCTGCCGCCAGCAATCTGATCCCTCCCCTGTCAGAACCTTTCTTGGGAAACTGGCCAAGTGACTGAGCATCCTGGATCCTCATTTCTCCACCTATAAAATAAGGGAAGTTGTCACCAAGAAGAGTTATTTCTTCCAACCAAATTGTTCTCTGATTTTTTAGTATTAGGTGAGATTACCGAAGAGTTGCCTAGAACAGAATTGTTGAGTAGAGGGGATGAATCAGTAGGCAGTAATCATCTCGAGGCCAAAATGAACAGGCATCCTTCTTCCTCAGTAGCTGCTGAGGAGGAGAGGGTGACCCATGCTGTCGATGTGGATTAGCAGATCCAATTTTCAGGATAACCCTTTATTCTCAAAACAAGAAAAATCTACAGTCATCCTGGGTGTGTGGTCCCTGGACTAAGAATTAGCACTCCCTTTTCTTTAACCATATTAAGATTAAAAACTCATTACTACTGGAAGGCACTCCTTTTCTGTTTTTGAACCATGCAGTGTTTCCTTGCTTTTTTCTGACAACTGACTCCTGATTCAAGTTTAGGTGTCACATGAGCATGATTAGGTGTTCTGGAATTGCCATTCTTCTCAATGTTAGCCACAATTTGTTGTGATCCACACAGTCAAATGCCTTTCCTTAGTCAATGAAACACAAGTAGACATTCCTCCAGTATACTCTCTGCTTTTAGGCAAAATCCATTTGACATTGGCAATGATGTCTCTAGTGCCATGGCATCTTCTAAACTCAGCTCATATTTCTGGTAGTTGTTGATGTACTGTTCCAGCCACTTTTGTGTAATCTTCAGCAGAATTTTGCTTGAGTGACATTAGTGGTGTTGTTCAATAATTTCCACACTCTGTTGGATCACCTTTTTTTGGAATGGGACTAAATATGGATCTTTTCCCAGTCGTTTGGCCTGGTGGTTATCCCCTTGATTTCTTGCCATACAGGGCTACCTCTCTTTGTTTAAATATGCCAATTAGTATTCCATCAATTCCTGGGGCCTTGTTTTTTGCAAATCCTTCAGAGCATCTTGGACCTCCTCCTTCATCACCATTGCTTCTTGAACATAAGTTGTTTCATTAACTACTTCTGTGCCAGCCAGTTCCTTTTGGTACAGTGACTCAGTGTACTCCTTCCATCTTCTTTTGATGCTTCCTGGATCATTCAGTATACTCCCCATAGCATCCTTAAATATTGCAACTCAAGGCTTGAATTTGTTCTTCAAAAACTTGAAACACTGCATGGTTCAAAAAAAAATCGGATTGCATCAGAATGTATCCTATCTCCATAGCTTTTCAATCTGTATGCAGAACAGATCATTTGAGAGCCTGGATTTGAAGAGGGAGAATGTGGCATTAGAATTGGAGGAAAATTCATCAACAATCTGCATTATGCAGATGGCACAACTTTACTTGCTGAAACTGAGGAGGGCCTGAAGCATTTGCTGCAGAGAATCACAGACTGTAGTTTGCACTATAAATTGAAGCTCAACATCAAGAAAACAAAGATTCTAACCACTTGGCCAATTGGCAATATCACAATAGGTGGAGGAGAGATTGAGATTGTTAACAATTTCAGCTTTCTAGGTTTCACAATCAACACTCTTGGCCCTAGCAGTCAGGTAATCAAAAGATTAATTGTGTTAGGGAAATCTGCTGTCAGGACCTCTCCAGAGTATTAAAGAGCCTGGATGTTAGTCTGGAA